TTGGAGAAACCTGATTTTACTGTAATGCTGGGTGTATCCTTCATAATAAAGATGCTGGGCTGATAAATGATGGGGAAGGGACTTTGTGAATGGAGATAAGGGTTTGGGGAGACACCTGGCAGACCAACTATTGACTACTTTTTGAACAGAGCATAGGTAGAGCAGATCATGGTATCCAAAATCTCTCTGGAGGCAACACCAACCCCCAGCAGGCATCGCTGGATGCATTCTGCCCCAAACAGATTAATTTTGCACCTTTTGGGTTTATTGTCCACCAGGACTCCCAGGTCCCTCTCAGCAGAGCTGCTATCTAGCAGATCATCCCCCAGCCTGTATTGGTGCATGGGGTTCGACCTCCCCAGGTGCAGCACTCGACACTTGCCCTTGTTGAACTTCATCAAGTTCCTCTTTGCCCAACTCTCCAGCCTGTCCAGGTCCCGCTGAATGGCATCACAGCCTTCCGGCGTATCAGCCACTCCTCCCAGTTTTGTATCATCAGCGAACTTGCTGATGGTGCACTCTATCCCCTCGTCCAGGTCATTGATGAACAAGTTGAACAAGACCGGGCCGAGTACCGAGCCCTGGGGAACTCCACTAGCTACTGGCCTCCAACTGGCCAGTTTGTGGGATCTAACAGTGAAATGTCTTGTCTAAGCCAAGCACCCAGCCTCAATTTATAGTCAGCAAGAGAGACGGTGATTTCTGTTTGAGGACTACACTAGACATGGCTCTTGTCAAGCTTATGCTTTCCCCATTTCACCTCAGTCCTCACCTTCTACACGTCCATGGTGCTCCTCAGCTGAGGTTACCAAAGCACCTTGTCTGTATGAGGGTGGTTGGTGACAGCAGCCTTACAGTGGCAGGAGGGGATGGGGTTGGGGGGAAGAAGCAGTGAAGATGTGCATTTGCTTGGCCATGTGTTGGAGAAACCTGATTTTACTGTAATGCTGGGTGTATCCTTCATAATAAAGATGCTGGGCTGATAAATGATGGGGAAGGGACTTTGTGAATGGAGATAAGGGTTTGGGGAGACACCTGGCAGACCAACTATTGACTACTTTTTGAACAGAGCATAGGTAGAGCAGATCATGGTATCCAAAATCTCTCTGGAGGCAACACCAACCCCCAGCAGGCATCGCTGGATGCATTCTGCCCCAAACAGATTAATTTTGCACCTTTTGGTATATTTTCTGCAATTTTAAGACCCAGCTGAGCTCAGCCATGCATTGCAGGCCTATAATGAGGGCGTATTAAAAAAAAAAAGAATTAGAACAGGTTTAAAATACAAGGGGGTGAAGCAGAAATAACTTTCCTGGGCAATGCACTGGACTCCCCCCCTTGGATTCTCAGTGCTTTTTAAAAATCACCTAAACTTCTTCAGGTTCTGCCTGACTCTATAGATCCTAAAACCCTAACTAAAACTAATTTAGCTCCTAGGGGAACAAAGCGAGCAGCGAAGCCGTACTTGCGCAAGAGTGGTATCGGCAGAGGGTGCTCCTTGCACGTGCTGCAGAGGACGGCTCGGAGCCTGCAGGCTCCCACTTGCCAGATGCCCGCTGCAGCAAAGTGCAAATTCATGCTGCCCAGATTCCCGGAAAACAGATGCTTATCCCAAGCTCTCTTTCCTTCCTCAGCTGCAAACATGCCCAGAGATCCCTTAAAAGCAGCATTTAAAGCCACTTCCTAAAATAAAACAGCAGGCAGCTCTTCCTTCCTCCAGACACTGATGCTTGGCCATGCTAAGTTTGCTGCCAGGATCTGGAAGGATTAGGAGCCACATTTAATCCTCCCAGAATGCCTAATCCTCCAGGGCTGAACGAACTCAATCTACACACAAATATGTCCCGGGGTGCTGCGTGTCCACCCATCCGTCTCCCCAAATCCCACTCCCCTCATGCCCTTGTTCTGGCTGGGGCTTTGGGCAAGTGCGAGGTCCATGGGAGAGCGTGCAGCTGCCTGAGCTCAGACCAAAAGCTCAGCTCAGAGCAGCGTACAGGATGGCAAAAGCAATATTTATGATGCTTAACTTGCACATTGCGAGGAACAACTGAGCCCATGCTCGGAGGTATGAAATGAAATACCTTCCATGCAAGGAAGCAAATGCATTTGAGGGTTTTAGGTGGGGTAAAAGCTGGCAGATGGGGGATACAAGAGAGTATAAAATCAGGAATGGCGTGGGTAGGTGGGAGAGGAGTTGTTTAGGCTAACTAGGGAGTTTTCGGTGGAATGAGCAGGGTGCAGGGAAGCCTCCACACAGCGCAGTTCACCTGGGGAGCCCCTTGCTGCGGGCTGTTGGGGACACCAAGTGTTCTTCTGGGCTCTTGTAGAGACAAATGGTAGCAGAATGCATACAGCAAGGGCTGTTAAAACCTATAGTCTGGCTTAGAGAGTCCTCGAGCAAACAAAGTGTGGAAGACTGAGGAAATGTTTTAAGGAAATAATATCACGTGATTGCTTGGTTAGAATAACCTTTTCATTATATTTTTGGTTTCCTCCGTTCTTTTGCAGAGCCCCCTCTGACTTCTCCCAGACCAGCAGCGAGAAAGGCTCCACCAAACCCTCCCTTGCCTTCACCCAGTGAGCTGCAGCCAAATCCAGTAGCCGTGCTCCCTCTACTGGTCTTACTGGTCCTGGTGCCGGTGGCAGTGGCACCCAGGGAGGGAAGGACAGACGGACAATGATGCAGTGTGGTGGTCAGGAGGGGTTTTGCATGGCCTTACAAAGGGAGAGGAGAAGAGGTATCTCTGGGCTGAGCTGGCAGCGGAGTTTTAGCAGAGAGGTTGGTACAGCACTGCCCAAGCGGCCCCTTACGGCCACAAATAATTTCAGCATATATATTGCATATAATCTTTACAGCCATATAAATAGCTCATAGCAATTCTAGCACTTTCTCAGTCAACGTTGAGAATAATTTATTGTGAATCCTTTTGGTGTTTCTTATTAAATGCCATAAAATATTACATGTCCCTTATGGTAAAACTCACCACGAGGTTTCCTGGGATGCGTTCCCCTTCCTCCCCAGAAGTCTATGATATACCTTTCTGGGGCCTTGCTTTGAAGGTCCTCCAGAAGCCCTTAAATCACAAGTTAAGCTCTGAGATTAGCCATAAAATAACTCATTGCATGTCCTCAGCATCACTTCCCACTATGCCTTCGAGCAAAGAAACTCAATGGTAGCAGGACATGGGCAAGGTAGACTTACTCTTCCAGGTGGTCCTGGAGAGGCTAAGGAAGATGTAGTTCACCCAGCTGAGACACGGGAAGTTTGGCTGGTGTGAATCAGCTTTCAGCACAAAATTAAGTGGATTTACTTTAAATTGATAAGACCTGCTCAGTTGGCTGTGCAAGCTGGGATTGCCTCTCACCTGACCTGGGTGCAACTGGTAGAGATAGATGTGCTGGGTTAAACCGGATCATAGAATCATAGAATCATAGAATGTTTTGGGTTGGAAGGGACCACTAGAGGTCATCGAGTCCAACCCCCCTGCAGTCAGCAGGGACACCGCCAACTAGATCAGGTTGCTCAGAGCCCCATCCAACCTGGCCTTGAATGTTTCCAGGGATGGGGCCTCCACTACCTCTCTGGGCAACCTGTTCCAGTGGTTTACCACCCTCATTGTAAAGAATTTTTTCCTTATATCTAGCCTAAACCTACCCCGATTTAGTTTAAAACCATTACCCCTTGTCCTAACGCAGCTGGCCCTACTAAAAAGGTTTTCCCCCTCTTTCCTATAGGCCCCCTTTAGGTACTGAAAGGCCGCAATCAGGTCTCCCCGCAGCCTTCTTTTCTCTAGACTGAACAAGCCCAACTATTCAAGTCATGGAACGATAGAATCATAGAATCCCAGGTTGGAAGAGACCTCAGGGATCATCTGCTCCAACCTTTCTAGGGAAGAACACAGTCTAGACAAGATGGCCCAGCACCCTGTCCAGCTGAGGCTTAAAAGTTTCCAATGTGGTGGAGTCAACCCCTCCCCTGGGGAGATTATTCCAATGGGTGACTGTTCTCATGGGGAAAAATTTCCTTCTCATATCCAATCAGGATCTCCCCAAAAGCAACTTGTGTCCATTCGCCCTTGTCCTCTCCATGTGTCGCCTCATAAAAAGGGAGTCCCAGGCCCTACTCTATGCAGGACAGACTCTCAACCTGGGATCTTGTTTTTCCTTTGGGCTGATGAGTCCTTTGGCTGTTTGGACTACTCACTTCATTTTACCTGGACTGCAGCACCCAGCTCCTGGTTCCAGGCTGCCTGGAGGCACATCTGTCTGCATCCCATCTGAGTTCCCTCAACGGGCAATGTTTCATTAAAGGAATTATCTTACAAATTCCCATAGCTTGGTCTACCCTAGAAACTCACTCCCTTGCATGGCCCATGAACTCTTCCGCTGCATCGCTCAGATTTGTACCAACTTGTGATGCTTTTGAGGCAGGACTTTGTGCTGGTCCATGCATTCATGTCATGCCAAGGGAATACCAGATAAAGAGTAAGGCCAAAGGCCTGCCACATGCATTAAAGTAAATCTGGAAGTGACACAGAAGTCCCTCTCAGGGGAACACCAACTCTGTGAGACTACCCAGTGCACACCCAGCTTTACCCATCCAGCCTCATCCCCAGCTGAAGGGGATGCTGACCTCGCAGGGCACCAGGGTCTCTTGGATTTGGGTCAAAACTTGACCTTGTGTCCACTGGGTAAATGCTGAGCAACCTGAAGAGCAAGAGTGTCACAATATAGACATGGAAAACAGGAAAAGGGAGATTTTTCCTAACTGCTGGAATGCAGCGAAGTTAAATGGGTGCATACAAGGCAGATGGTCAAAGGATGTGGTTGTGAAAATGGTGGTCTACATTTTTTCAAGGTCTTGCAGTAGTCTGGGAGCTGGGAAGAAAATCCTTCAATGCTGACCATGCCATGACTGCTGGCCCCAGATCCACCTCCAAACACCAGGGACAAAGGTGGTCCCTGAATCTCTAAGAGCCAATGGGATAGGTGACACTTACCGTGATGGGGAAATAGTCCCTCATGTACCTCCAGATGGCGCTGTTCCGGATGGCATGGATCCGCCTCCCGCCCTTGCTGGGTTTTTCCCTGTCTATGAACCACCATGCAGCGTACAGGGCACTGACCAGCCAAAAACGCGTGAAGAAGAGGCCGATGAAGGCAACTGTGCAGCACTGTGCTGAGAGAAAAGCCAAAAGCCAGGCAGTGAGTTGGCACTCGGGTTAAGTGGGCGTTAGGAATGATTCACCTGAAGGGCCTCAATGTGTTTGGACCTGGGATGGAGCCCAGCCCTTCACTGGGCTTCCTGCTGAAAAAAACCTGCTGAGTTATTTTATCAGTGTGAAGGCACCTTTTGATGCAAAGCTGTGGGTTTTTTCCTGTCTGCCCCAGGAACCTGGAAAGCAACCAAGCACCACCCTGGCAACAACCACCTGTTTCTCCAAAACCCACCATGTCCCCATCTTCCCACAAGACTGATGGACCTCACAGCATCCAGAGGGTACTTGTGGATCAGATCTCTATCCCTCTGCTGTCTGGCTTTTCTCTGGAGACAGTCTGACCTCTGCAATGATAATGCCCATGTTTAACCCCAAAACTCCTGCTAATACCCTCAATGGCACCCAGCATTTTGCAACAGCAGAAAAGCAGGGCAACTATGCCCTGTCTGTACAGTCCCCAATAGCTTTGTTCTGTGCTATTGATTCCCCATTTTAATTGTGTCTTGGATTTTTAATTTTTTATCTTCCCATATATAAGATCTTACTCTTTATTGATTTTGGACTTTTGCCTCCACTTCTTGGGTTCAGTCTCAACTCCAATCTTGGCCTCTAGAGGATTTTCGGTCCTTTCAGCTTGGTGTCATCACAGATTTTTATAATGCTCTATCTCATTCCCTAAGGCATTAATGACTTGGGGCTTTCCCAAGTCATTAAAGACTTTTCTGAGTTGCTTCCAGTCAGTCCTCAGCTTTGCCCTCTACATCCCACCTCCCTCATGCCTTCTATTTTGGCACAGGAACAAGAGAAGAAAAACCTGTGTGCAAACAAGCATCACTCGGTACATCAAATCCCACCCAAGCCCAATGCTGTCTGTCTGCAGAGACTGGGAAGTGTTGGTGGCTACCAAGCTGCCACCTGGTAAAGCAGATGCCCCAAAAAGTGCCTGGGAAGAGCTGTGTCCTCTCCATCTGTCCCTCTGGAAGCCTTGATGTGGTCTGGGAAGGAGGAGACTGAGCTAAAAAAATTCCCCATTCATCCAAGCCCTTTGCCTTCCCCAGCTCATGGGTTACACCATAGAATCATAGAATGTTTTGGGTTGGAAGGGACCCCTACAGGTCACCCAGTCCAACCCCCCTGCAGGGAGCAGGGACACCTTTAACCGGATCAGGTTGCTCAGAGCCCCGTCCAACCTGGCCTTGAATGTTTCATGTGTGGTGGTTATATATTTCGTTCTTCTCTGTGTCTCCATCACAGATCCAGCACTCAGGGCTCTGAAAGGCAAGAGGATGGAGATACCCTGTTCACCTTCAGCTTCAGCTATGAGATAGATGCATCCATCCCTTCATCCTCTGAGACCTGGATTTTCATCTTTGGGAGTCACCTGGCACCTGCCCTCTCCAGTTCATCTTAGCTAAGGCCTATTAGAGAAGAGGTATACGATGCTCTCATTTAAGACCTCCTTGTACCTCCTGTTTGCTTTTACTTAACAATAAATAAGTAGGTCTGGTTTGTAGTCTTTTTTTTTTTTTTTTTTTGTGATAAGTCACCCTGATCCCAGAGCTTTGCATGTAAAAACAAATCCCTGCCCCTTTTTAAAACATGGGCATGATGGTGCTGATAATTCCTATGAGGGAAAAACAAACAAACAAAAGCAATAACCTAGCAGGATCCTAAATCTCCTTAAAGCTGAAATGGGATCTTATGTCCTCAAATAGGCAGAAACACTGTGGCTCTCTGCAGGGCAGGAGGTCCAGCCTGCAATGCATCCTCCAGGTCGGAACGAGCCACTCCTGGTACCTGGTGCCACCCCTTTCAAATGCCACAGACACCATCTTTGGAGGTCTTCTGGAAAATGGCATCCAGCATGAAACAAAGCTCCAGGGTCCACATGACGCATAAACGCTGCTGGAGGAACAACGTGGAGGTTGCAGTTTTACTGCACCTGGGAGCCAGGTCATCAGGTCTGCTGCAAAACTGTGCGGTGCCTCATTCTCTTTTTATCATCCTGTGCAAAGCTCAAAGTACATTCTGCAAAACGAAGGAGTTGTTCTGGTCCAAATCCATGCACTTATCATCCAAGTGAGGTTTTATCTTGCAATTATATAATTATTAATACTTCCCTCGATTCATTTGCAAGTCAACTTTCTTTTTTTTTTCAGGGCAGAATTTGCACACAGTGACCTTCACTCAATCTTAAGATTTTTATATATATATATTTTTTTTTTGGTGCTTGTAAAATCTTACATTGTCCTGGTTGCTGTGGGAAAGGAGCCCATTCCTGTCCTGGAATGGCCCCTCTGTCTGGAAGTTGCTATGGATGGGACCAAAGAGACAGGAAAGTTCCAGAAAATGTACGGTTAAATCCTACTGTCTGCATCCAACCCAATCCCAGCCTTAGGCAGACACTTGATGATTTATGGGCACTCTGTACCGCTGCCTGGTGTGCAAGGGGGAGTCACCATAGCTGCTTGGATCACAGGAGATTGCTGTCCCCCTTCCAACTTCCTTGCAGACGTCTGTGTGTCAAGTCCTCAAACTCTTCAATGAGGCAGTGCAATCCCATCAGTAAGACACCAAGATTTTCTGGACCAGTAGCAAGACTTTTGCCACAGAGCTCTTGCTGCTTCCTGAAAGCCAAGTCAGGTCTCCAGGCTGGGTCTACCACCAGCCCCACTGCCCAGGACTTCATGCTCTTCAGCCTGGCTCCAGGGTCCCTTCCCTGGCACCGACCTGGCCTTTTTTAGGTTACACGGGTGACTCTTCACATCTTAGAGTCTTCTTGTTCTCCAAGCCACTGAAAAATAACATCCCACCCAAGAAAGGGCCAAATTCTACATCCATTTGAGCTAAGGGCTGAAAGGAAGGACTGTGCACCAGGAGACAACATCTATTTCTGCAAATCCCGAGTCTTTCCTGAACCCTTGTGGAAGGGAAAACACATTTCCCTTCCTCCATGGGTCATCTCCCAGAGGCAGAACTGCAAGAACAACCTAAAGCCACCTCCTTTCCCCTTCTGCTTCTTTTTGGAAGGACAGGGCAGAAGGGATGGGTGGCAAACAGGAATATTTGCTTGTTGCCAGCCTGTTCACCATAATCATTGCTTTCTTCTCTTGAGGGGAATCCCAGGAGGAAAATGAGGACCAACAAAAGTTTCTTGCCTGTCCTTCCCTGGACTGGGGACCACTTTGGAGCTGCCCAGATGAGATTTGTATTTCCCTCAGCATCTGCTTTCCTACAAACAACTGTCATTTTTCTGGGCCACCTGCCAGGCAAACACTTTAAAGGACATAAAACACATGGCATTAGGCTCTTGGCCAGGGAACCTCAGCAGATATCTCCCTCCTGGGACCAAACTTCAGCCTCTGTACAACCCACTGTGCCCACGAAGCAACCTGTAAAGTGCTGTTGGGTCTTGGAAATGCCAATGGAAGAGACAGCAATCTGCGTCATGATGGGGATAGGGGAAAACCTGCAAGCCCCCGGTTCATTAGAAACCCATCTTTGAACCCCATCAGCTGCCAGGGCTCTGCAGAGCCGGACAAGCTCTCGAGCATAGAATAATAGAATGGTTTGGGTTGGGAGAGACCTTAGAGACCATCTAGTTCCAACCCCCGGCTTGGTCAAGCTCTCCACAGGAGCAACCTCTCTGGTAAGGATGGGGACTGCAGGCGCATCAGGGACGCCAACGGCAATGAGATGTGATTACATCATGGCTCTGCCTCACTGCCTTTCCAGTATTCTTTAAGGGAAAGGAGGGAAGAATTACCTTTAGTATTCAGCCATAGCATCACTACAATATCTACCTTCCACATTTCTGCCCCCATAAGTCCGTTGGTTCCCAGCCTCAGGCCACAATCTCTCAAGCCATGGTTGGACACTCAGGAGGAATAGGCAGGTTTGGGGGTGCAGTTGCAAACAGATGTGATCCTCATCTCCTCCCTCTGCAGGTCTGGACTCTTGCGAGGTAGCCCAGCTGCACTCGCTAAATTGCTATAAAATGCCTTAAGCCCTTAAACAGAGCCCTTTCAAGGCAGACATCACCATGGCCTGCAAGAGGAGGTCTAAGGGCATCATCCACGTCTTTGCAATCACATCAGTTCAGTTATCTGAAAATAGCCAGAGAATCCTAGGCTGGCCTAGGATTAGCTGCTGCACTGCCTACTCTGCCATGGGAAGTGAAGAGAGCCCCCTTCAAACTAAAACCAAAACCAAAGTACCCTTGACAGGAAGGAAAGCTCCATACAGATCCTAAATCTTACACTTTCTGTTTAGGCCAGGTTTATCTGTGGATGCCTGTGGTGAGGGGTGGCTCTCGGTGAAGCAGTCATAGGACATTCCTGAACTGCGGGGCCACCAAGGTCTGCACACAGCGGGTCAACCAGGGGTGCTCCTGAAGCAGCTCTTCATGATCCAGGACCCAGCACCTCACATCACCATGGCCGTACAGGAGTCAGCAAGGAGAAGACACATCCATGCGGATGTCATGGCTTTCTTGGATCCCCTCACAAGCCAAGTGGTTTCCTGGGCTGGGCTCCCTCAAAGAAGATCAGAGCAAAAATGAAACATTTGGTGGTGGGTACCTTGTGCTAAGTAGTTTTGCTGTGAGATGCAAGTCCCTCCATGGATGAAAACATGAGTGTATCACAGACAACACACATGTGTATGCCCCAGGCTCCAAGTGAGCCGCAGGCTGGAAGCACATGGATGACTTTTCCGGCCAAGTCAAAACAGGGACCACGTCCCATCATAGTGCTGCTGGGCAAAGCATTGTTACTAACCCAGCATTTGCTCATGCAACCTGAAATAAAGAAGGCCAACCGTACCCTGGGCTGCATCCCCAGCAGCGTGGCCAGCAGGGCGAGGGAGGGGATTCTGCCCCTCTGCTCTGCTCTGGGGAGACCTCACCT